CCCCGTATATAAGACCCTAGGGTATTATGATAATCACCCCTAAAAAGGCTGGGGGGTATAATTAAATGGTATATTTTTTAGAAGACCCGGGTATGTTCACATTGACATTTATAAGAATGCACGATGTTGTACATTTCAGTCTCGTAAGTTCAATCGAATCTAACTTTTACAGCGTCCTGAATCAGAATCGCGCGAGGGCGTTTCCCTGACTGTGCACAGAGATTTGGCACGTCACTTTGCCAGCGTGCCAGCTCATCCTGACTGGACGCGCAACAAGTGAAGCCTTCGAAAGTCAAACACATTGAAAATGGGTGTTGACTCATTTGAAATTCGAATTTCGTTACCATTTTCAATTGCATTTTTTTGTAAAATCCGCACTTCTCTAGTATGTGGGGGGGTCTTATAATGTTAGGAGCCATTTAGGGGGTATAACTCAGATTTACTCGAATAGAGTACCCGGGTCCGTATTATAGACCCGGGGGTCTACAACTTGGGGGGGTCCTATATACGGGGGATTACGGTATGCTTGTCTGCTCTCAATCCTATTTGTGTATGCGTGTGTGTGCAGTGCGGGTGTGTTTGTGCAGTGTGTGTTCATGTCTTCTCGTGTTTGTATCGCTGTGGGGTTGCGTGTGTTGTCGGTTACCGTATGTGGGTAGAACGTTTTGTTACGTGTGTTTGCATTCGTGTTCGTGGGATGTGTGTTTCAAAGTGTGGTGTTAGTATGTGTCATGTATGCAATTAGAGGTTGTTAATCGTCTTTTGGGCAGCGTGTTTTCGCTGTTTCAACGACCCCATCAACAGTGCCCTAGATATCAGACTTTGGAGTCTGAATCAGAGTCCGTTCAGACTTTTTTTTTTGTACCTAGTCTAAACTCAAAGAATTTATTTATGTGCCTTGTCTATGAGTTGTCTGAAATTTCAGCCTAATTTTACTAGGGTAGGCTGAGCCTCCGACTTGTATCGGGGGTACACTCTGCGCGCTTATCGGAGTGAAGTTTCCTGGAAGTTTCCTTCCGATATGCCCACTTCCGAGATGGCAGTGGAGTGCCAGGACGTGAGCAACGCTCACTTCGACAGCTGGGACATCCAAATACACTCGTTCGTCGAGAATATCTTCCAGTTACGCTGAGGAAATGGTTGCGTGATTACGAGATTTCTGAAGACAAAATCTCGTCACATGTAAGTTATCGCTAATATATTGTAAAGAATAGGCGACTTTGATGCTGATTCGGTGTAAAAACATCTGCAGCACGCACTGGTGTGAATTGCGAAGTTCCTGATTCGTAGTGAAAGTTTCGTGTGGCACTGTCTGATCCTCATATGTCACGCCAAGCAACAGTTTCTGCCTGCTGCCAGCTCAGCTGCGTGGCACTTGGCCCACCTGATACAGATCGGGTGAACGATCGAATCGCTTGAAAAGCAAATCCAAAACTGACAAAATCGGCACACATGCGAGAAAATGGGTACAGAACGGTAATCACACACGCGACAAAACGAAATGAGATCAGCAGAGCAGAAACAACCATGCGCTGCACGTGACAAAAACACCGGAACGCCGCCGACATGAGCAGAGGCGATGCACGAGCACGAGCACGTTGCCTGATGCGTTGGTATGGTAGGCTGTAATCACCTTCAATGCTATTATAACTGCTTTTACGACACTGCATGAACATCTTAAAATTTGAAGTAACTCTGACAGTTCAGACAAAAAAATTTGTGCTTGTCTGAATTTTCAGACTAAAATTTTGAGGCACCTCTGACAGACAGAGTTTCAGGAGGGGTGTACTCTGAGGCCTCAGACTACCTCAAAACGAATCCAGGGGCCTGCCCATCAACCTCTGTTGTTGCATGATGCATTTTAACATTCACTTTGTAGCATCCACCCACATTTCATACTTTGTTGTTCATCTGTATAATCATGTTGAAGCCAGAATATTATGCTCGGCCGTACCATCCGCCGTATTAATCGACGATGCTGGGACGGTCGAACAAGTTCATGGTTTCAACATGATACGGTACGCACGTGCATAGTACCGGTATTTGGTTTCACATTTAGGGATATAATTCAAGAGTGGTTTGTATTCACTCTTTGAGGCATCCGTTTGAACACAGTTTCAGAAAGTTCAAATAGGTGCTCCAAAGAGTGCATGGAAAATCACATTTGAAATGATATCCCCAAAATGTGAAACCAAATATAAAGGGTTGCTACGCAACCCAAAAAAGAGGAAACACATCTTCTATACTCATGCAGTCTTTTATCTTCCAACTCATCACAGAAGCGGAAATTCACTCTTAGCGGGAGGTGCCCCTTCCTCAAATAGGGCACTTCCCTTCCGTGGTTGGTGCCATGGCACAAGCCACGTTCGGTGTGTAGAAGCCGACAGCGCTTCGTAAAGATGGGTTCATTCTTTCCCGCACTTGACCTGTTCCAAACCAGGCCGAGCTCGTTCGGCAACTGAGCCGCGGCTCGCTCACATCAAGAAGTTTCACCCAAACCTATCACTTCGCCCCGAATGTGCCTCTGACAGACCGAATCCAGGCGTAGCCACGTTCCCGCCGAGCGTCACGTCAGTGAGCCTCTCCCACACGAAAACACGAGCCTTGGTGGTGCAAATAGCGTGGTTGCCTTTTTTGGCTAGAAGCGAGAAGAGCAATTCAGGCTGCTAGCTCTGTTCGGTGAACATTCTTCACATCTCATGTTTCTGGTCTGTCCATTTTAGTTTCCACCACTCAACCGCGCCAAGAAAGAACTAGGCTTGCTTTTTATAGTAGCCATGAAGGTCAACGTGCTGCTGCTGGCTCTAGCGCTCGCCACGTTGCTACACTTAGCTTCGGCGCAGTCAAACTACAACTCAACATGCAATGACCTGTGCACTGCGTCTCGCAACAACAGCATCTACCTCAACTGCACAGGGCAATGCGTGGTACGTGCCGCCGGCGCTTCCTCTGCTCCCCAGGAGTTTCTACTAGAAGAGCGGAACAGCTGGCGTTGGACTTCGAGTGCAGTAACCATTTTCTAAGCGCCTAGCAATTGGCGCTACAATGTTCTTTTGCCGTTCGCTTCATTTCACTCTTTCCGTCTTCCCTTCAACTGATTGCTCGTTCCACCTCACCGCCACGAGGAATGTATTCTGGGTGGTATCTCAAAACTTTCTTAAGATTTTCAAAATGTTCGTTTTCCCAAGCACCGTATCCCCCCCTGACTTCCTCCGGGCGCCCTTCATTCTGACTATTTTTTTCTTCCGACGATTTTCGTTCATTCCGTTCGTTTTGCGCCACTCCCGTTGTTGCGTCCCTCTGTTCACCCCCTCTGCGCCGCATTTTCCGCAGACCTGCATCTCCAAGGTTCCCTCCGGCTGTGTTCCCTTCTTCAACCCCGTCTTTACCGATGGTACGTCTTTCCAGGATACTGAGGTGTCTTCCCAGGTACGCTTAAGTCATTTCGTTACAGTGGCACGTGACACATTTTCCTCCGGCTGTGTTCCCCTCTTGAACCCTCGTCTTTTACGGAGGTACGCCTTCTGAGGACACCGCCTGGTTTCGTTCTGTTCTCATACGCCGTCTTTACTACAAAGTCGACTTTTCCCAGCGGAAACAATGCGGCGCAAACGATCGTGTTTGGAGATAAATGCGAGTCTATGTGCTCGCATCATCCAATTGCTAACTGTTTGAAAATTTTAAGGGTTTTCTTTCCCTTGCGGAATGAGAATCTCGAATGAAACCGGGGTTCCGCGGTACCGCCTCTCGTTTCGGAGTTATCGCGGCCAAGCCGGAAACACCAACCGTGCGTCTCTGAGATGCGCCATATTTCTTGAGCCGCGAAATGTCAGGTGACGTGTCGCCAATACAGCACGCCGACCCAACACCCTGCTGGTCTCCGCCTATTTCCTGCCTGCCAGTCCCCCTCTCGTTTCCGCCTGCTCCCTGCTTGACTCCGCCAATACCCTGCTTGATTCCCCCTCGCTTCTCCTCATACCAACTTTTTTCCTAGCACACACCAGTTGCACTCTGACCTGCGCGTGAAAAGAACGAGGCAGCACAAGGCAGACTCGTGACTCCCCTCATTCTGCACACTGTCCTCACTATCCCTTCCTCCCATCCCCGCTTCCGGCAGTGCCAACACATTTTCTCCCGGTTGTCAGCATACTTTTCCAGTTGTACGAAGTCTCAACACACAGAAGACCTTTGGCTTTGCATATTCTCCATCCCCTCCCTCACCCTCCTACACCCCTTTTGCTCACCTCCCTTGATCCCAAAATTCCAGGCTATCTCCAGAAGTGCGAGTGCGGGTTCTCCTGCCACGCGTCGCTCGTGTGGTGGCAGTGGATGCTCGCGGGCTTTGCCATCTTCTTCGCGTGCGCGATGGTGGGCGCATGCATCATGTACGGCACCAAGGGAGCACAGTAGATGTCAGAGTTTCACACTTCTGACTGGGTTTTGAGGTGGCGCAAAAGGCGAGATGGTTGGCGCATGCATCATGTACCGCACCAAGGGAGGCACAGTAGATGATGCAGGGGTTACACATCGCTGACCAGGTTTGGAGCTCACGCGTTACCAGGCTCTGGGGATGCCTTATGGAATTATCGTTAGTTGATTCCTTCTCTTATATGACACCCACAATTGCCATACTTAGTCGGTAGGGGTGAGGTGCGTAGAAGAATAGTGATGCAGCGGATTTTTCATGGATGTTCTGTGGCTGAGTTCAAGTGTGCACGAGTTGCAAGCAAAGTATGCGGTGTCGCAGTTAAGCAGAAGGGTTCAGAGTGATGTTAGGAGGTTCTGATAACTCATTTGTAGCAAGAAGAAACCAATTGTTTGTGAATGAGAAATTACGAACACTTGAGCTGAAACTGGGGAGCCATAACGGCTTGTTTACTGGACACACATGGCAACAAACGATGCCACGCCATGCCGCATCATTATTCTTACTAAGCTGGAAATGGCATGCTACGCTGTAACGCTTTCCTCCTTCCAAAGCAGAGCACTGTAACGCAGCTTCAAGTGTTGTTCTTGGAGCATCGCAGCTTCTGGTGCGAAGCCCAGTACCCCGACTGGCACTTGCACATGGGCACATACGCCTGTGTTTTGAGCAGCTGAGCCACATCCAACACGCACATGCCCTTGCCGCTACACGCCCCCGTGGCCGTGGCCGTCCCACAGAACTTGTTGCACTCCTCTGTGGTCTTCTGGCCCGCGGTGCCCCCGCACTTGGAGGGGACGGAGGAGAGGCAGTTGCCCGTGACGGAGAAGTCGTCGGAGCAGGGAAGGGAGGAGGCTGAGCCGGAGAAGTAGTTGTCCGCCGCGTTGACTTTCTTGACCCGCTGCAGGAAGGCCGGGATGGGACCCGAGAAATAGTTGCCAGAAAGGTCGCTGAGGGGTGGGGAGTGGGTGGTGGAAGGTGGAGAGATGAGGAGTGTTGGAAAGAAGCAGGTGAGGAAGAAAATGAGAGAAGGCAGAGAGGTGGGATGCAGAGAGGCAATTGACCCGAAGGGCAGTGAAAGAATGCAAACATAAGCACGGGATGAATACAGGCAAGACAGGGAAAGAAAGGAGTGCGCAGGCAGGCAGGACGTGGTTGATCTAGACTGACTGAGGGCAAGGGGCGTACATGACCCACGTACACAGACTGAGGGCGGCGAGGGGCGTACATAAGGGTGAGCTGCTTGAGGCCGCTCAGATCAGGCAGGATAGTGAATGAGAGAGCAGGGAGGCCAGTGGGCGAGGAGGGAGAGCAGGGAGAGCAGGGCGGTGGGGGGCGTACATGAGGGTGAGCTGCTTGAGGCCGCTCAGATCAGGCAGGGGGCCATAGTACCACCCGTTGTTGAGGTACCTGCAGTCATGGGTGCAGCGTGGCATGGGAGTGGTGGAGTGCGGTGAGGAGAGGTCAAGGAGGCGATGGGTGAAAGTGAAGCCAACAATGGGAGACATAGGGTGGGTACCGTATAAGGATTGAATAAGGTGATAGCGACCTAGGCTCACAGTCCGATCCCCCTTGCCTTTCCATTCTAACAACCCACAGTCCGTTCCCCCTCTGCCTGCCTATTCCCTCTGCAGGCCGTCCCCCTGTCCCCCCCCTACCCTCCCCTCTACCTCCTGAACTCCCTTTGTTTCCCCCCTCTCCCCACCCCTGTCCCCCCTCTGCCCAACGTTGTCCCCCCAAAGCCTCACAGCTCTTCGAGCTTCGCCCTTCGCCCCCTCCTTTTTCCCCACTATCAACACTGCCCCTCCCTTTCCCCCCTCAGCCTCACAGCTCTTTGAGCTTCGCCAGTCCGCTGAGCGCCTTGGGCACCTGCCCGTACAGCCGCGTGTCAGACAGAGAGCTGCACAGGAGGAAGAAGATGTGAGAGGGAAATGAGAAGGCAGTGAGTGAGTGGGCCAGGCAATGAGAAGGCAGTGAGCGAGTGGGCACGTTGCCGTGCAGGCGCGTGTCAGACAGGGAGCTGTGCGAGTAGAGGGAGGCGAGAGGGGCGTGAGTGGAGGGTGAGAGGTGGGGGAGGTGGGTGGAGAGATGCTGAACAGAGGTATGCGAGCTTACAGGGGTGTGAGTTTAGAGGGTGTGAGCTTACGAGGGTGTGAGCTTACGAGGGTGTGAGCTTACAGGTATGTGAGCTGACTAAGTGTGCCCAGGAACGTTGGGATCTCGCCCTCAAAAGCGGTCTCCATCAGACCGCTGGGAGGGCAGTATGGAGCGAGGGAGAGGGAGGGGAGGCAGAGGAGGACGAGGAGGAGAGAGTTGGGACATAGCACAACAAGGCGAAAGATAAAGAGGAAATCAAGTAGAAGAGTGAGGGAGAGGCAAGAACACAACGGCACCAGTTGGGTAGATTTGCTTACAAGGTTTTGTGTAAGCGAAATTAGCTCTAAGGTAATTGAGCTTCTTGAGCTGCGGCAGGGTCTTGGGAGCATGAGAGGGAAGGGAGGAAGGAGGAGGGATCGGAAAAGGCTCCTTAGCCTGAGGAAGACTCACAGGTACTTGAGCTTCTTGAGCTGCGACAGGGTCTTGGGAATGGAACCCTCCCAGTAGTTCTTGCTCACGGTGCTGTGAAGAGGGATGGGAGTGAGAGATAGAGTATGTGTGTGTGTGAGTGTGGTGCAGAAGAGAGAGCGATGGTTGAAAGCACACACACCTAGTCGTTGCAAGGTTGGAAAACGTGCGTGGCACTCAAGTCACAGTGCAAGCGCAACTCACAGGCTCTTGTCTAGGTGAGACACACTCACAGGCGCTCCAAGTTGGTGAAAGAGCCAATGTACTCCGGCAGAGGCCCGCTGAAGCGGTTGTTGCGCAGATAGCTGGGGGTGGAGAGGGGGGGACGAAACGGGGAGGGGAGGGGAGGGAAGGGAGGGAAGGGGAGGGGAGGGGAGGGGAGGGAAGGGGAGGGGAGGGGAGGGGAGGGGAGGGAAGGGGAGGGGAGGGGAGGGAAGGGGAGGGAAGACGAGGGTGGTGGGGATGGCAGATAAGAAAGAGCGAAGGACGAGGTTGATGGGATGGGATGGAAACTTGCTTGCTGAGGAAACAGTGTTCACAAAGCTATGCATTCCACATCCTCCTTCCGCTCTCTCTCCCCACTCCACTCCCTTCCTCTCCCCTCTCTCTCCCTATACCCCGCTCCTCCACCCTCCGTCCCCCCTAAGGCACCCTCTGATCCTCCGCTCTCTCTCCTCCACCCTCCGTCCCGCCTAAGGCACCCTCTGATCCTCCGCTCTCTCTCCTCCACCCTCCGTCCCCCCTAAGGCACCCTCTGATCCTCCGCTCTCTCTCCTCCACCCTCCGTCCCCCCTAAGGCACCCTCTGATCCTCCGCTCTCTCTCCTCCACCCTCCGTCCCCCCTAAGGCACCCTCTGATCCTCCGACTTCTTCGTATTGCCACTCTCCCACACTCTTTCCCATCCCCTATCCTCCCTCCCTAAGCACGCACAGCTCTTTGAGCTTCTTCAGATTGGCAAAGCTCGACGGCAAGGCCCCTCCTATGCCGTCCTCCCCTGTTCCGGCCAGGTTGCTGCCAAGGCGGTTCAAAAAGGAGGAGAGGGGGAGATGGGGGGAGACAGGGGGGAGACGCAGTGAGACCTGGTTATACACGTGCTTGCAAGCTAGCGGGGTGGTATGAGTTTGGGAGGTGGTGCTGGTTCGGGTTTAGTGAAAGCAGTGCTGATGACAGGGATGTAGATGGTCAGTCATGAGGACGATTACACTGAGACGGGGATGCTTATGACGACGATGCTTTTACTGAGACGAGGGTGCTTATAACGAGGTGGTAGTGCCTATGACGAGACGATGATGCGTTTAACGAGTCGAGGGTGCTTACAGAAAGACGAGGTTGACAAGGTTGCCGAGGCTGGCTGGGACAGCACCCTCTAGCGGGTTACCACCAACGCTCCTGTGTGCGGGCAACACAGTATTGGAACCAGAGGGAGGATGGGCGAAGGTGGGTTAGGGCAAAAGTGGGGAAAGGGCAAAGGTGCAGAGGGGTAAAAACAGGATTGATTGTTTTTGGGGGTGTGAGGGCTTGTGGAGGGCTTGTGGAGGGCTTGTGGAGGGCTTGAGGAATCCAGAGTTTTCTGCATCTGAAGATTCACGTCTGCATGGAAATTGTCTTGAAAGCCAGCATGGGATGGCATGGCACGGCATGGCAAGGCATGGTGGCTTGGCATGGCATGGCAAGGCATGGGATGAACGGGATATCTCGTTGACTGACAGGTATGTGAGGGCCGTGAGCTGGCCGAGGAAGGACGGAATGCGCCCCTTGATCCAGCAGTCGTACACATTGCTGTGGGTGGGGCGGGAGCGGAGGAAACAGAATGAGGAGCAAGGAGGGACGAAGGGCTACAGGTGAGGAGAGAATGAGAGAGTGGGAAGAGGCAGGGGCAATGCGGGGAGATCGCGCTAGGGGAGGAGATCGTTCAAATGAGACGAGCAGCAATCACTGCAATGTCGTGCACGAGTTACAGTCCGTCTTTCAGCCGCACAGCACTGCACAGCACCGCGCAGAACCTATGCGCTGCCAGCTGGCGAACTCATAGGTGGTTGAGCTTCTTCAGCTTGGTGAACGACTGAGGCAAAACCTTCACGCCGTTATTGTAACTCACATCGCTGCGGCCGCACAGCAATGCACAGCACCGCATTGCACCCTGGGGCACTCACAGGTGGATGAGCTTCTTGAGCTTGGTGAACGACTGCGGCAGCACCTCCACGTCGCCGTTGTAACTCACATCGCTGCGACCGCGCCGTGCAGAGAGGAGTGGAGAGGGGCGAAGAGGATGCGGAGAGGAGTGGAAAGATGCGGAGAGGAGCGGAGAAGGGGGGAAGGAGCGGAGAACGGGGGTAGGCATTTAGACAGGGAAAGGGATGCGGCGAGATGCAAAATAGGAGCCACGTATTGCAAAATTCAATCAATGCGGGATCCAAGGAACACAAAAGGAGTGATGTAGTGAACGAGCGAATGGAGATGTGCGGTTTGGGATGGAACGGATAAGCTAAAAAGGAATTAATGAACTCAAGAGTCGAGGAGTTGTTGTGCGGTGCAGGAGAGAGTTTGGGAGTGGATGGGAAAATGCGAGGGTGGATGGGAAGGGAAGAAGCGACGGGACCGGCGTCTGGAGGGAGGAGGCGAGGCAGGATGCAAACGGCATTGGAGGGACTCCCTCGGAGGGGGCGAGGCTGGAGGCTCACAGGCGTTGCAGCTGGTCGAGCGAGGAGAGTACGTCGATGGGCCCCACGAGGCGGGCAGTCGTGGCGTTGCTGCGTGCGGAGACACGCGGAGGCACGGAGGCCGGGGGGGATCGGATACGCAAGGAGGGAGAAGTGGCAGAGGCAGAGGCAGAGGTAAGTTGAGAAGTTGCCACGTGGGGGCCAGACTCGCAGCTGTGACAGGTGGCGATTCAGAACGTCGCCCTTTTCTTTTGAGCGATCCGCGGAAAAACGGTTTCGTTGCGGTTTCTCTTCAGCTTTTGCGTGGATATCGACCCCGAAACGGCTCAGCGAGACACTCACATGGCGACGATCTTGCCCTCCGCGTCGCACTTCACTCCGCGGTACTTGGAGCACTTGTCGGGCGCGCCGCTCGCCGTCCACGACTTGAACTCAAAGTCCTTGCCCGACTGCGCGCCGAGCTGACGAAGAACGTCCACTGACGGACGGAGGTGGACGGAGGGGATGACGGAAGGAAATTGACGGATGAGAAGGGCGAAATAACGTTTTGTGGAAGAACCGGGCAGGACACAAAATCCCCGCCAATGGTGGAACGACGACACGTACGCTGCGACTTGAGGATGGTTGGATCGGACGACGAGGCCACGCGGATAGCGTCGCCGGTGGGGAGGAATGCAGCGGAGGCGATTGCGACGACGACGACGACGACGGCGACGAGCGGCGATGGCGCCAGCCGACGCAGGCGCGCGAGCGACGCGATCGAATCCATCAGACGGAAAAAAGCTGCTCGAATGAAAGAATGTGGATCTCGTGGATGACCAGAAAAAGAACGAAAAGGTAGTATGGCGAAGGTGAAGCTAAAACTCGACGATTGTTGAAGTAGGAATATCGCAAGTCGTTGCGCTGTTCAGACTGAGCAAGGGCACAGGGACTGTCGAGGCTGAGCGGCCGATGTACTGAGAAAGGATGGATGGTGGAGGAATCAGATGGTGCATTTATACTGCTGAAGATCGGCAGGATTAGTAGCGGGGGCAGGCGGAGTGAAATGGAGGCAGTTGGAGGACCAGTGGGGGTAGCAGCGCTTGTGACGGCAGGAGCTGATGCCTGGTTGGCTGTCTATTGCAATGCAATGCCTCCTGCTCAAAGCGTGTGTGCAATACGAAATTATCGAACCGCATGTCATCTCCCATCGACGGTCAAACGATGGGGAACTTGGGGTTGAGAGAAGCCTTTCGGAGTCACCGCCGTCAGATCGGAGAGTGCTGTGGTAGATCCCATGCGACAGTGCGCACGACGATTATTTGTGCTTTGATGCAATAATCACGGAGAGGACCAATGTGTTACGAGCATATTAGTGCATCTCGCGAAACAAAAGTATGTGTTACGAGTTGTAAGAGCGTGGAAGATCCCTGTGAACAAGGCATTGGTCGCGCAGTTGCGACAGTAACACAGGTTGCGATTCTCGCCATTAAACGTCGTCAATAGAGTGACGAAAATTTCTAGAAGCACTCGTTTCAGAGCCCGTGCCCTTTTGTTGCCCCACGTTTTTGGGTCCACGAGGGGAAGACAAAGATTGGCGACGTAAGAAGAATCACGCGACATGAAACCAGGTGTTGTCGTGGGTGATGTGGTGCAATCCAATTTGCTCTGAGTGATTGACGAACTCAGATTTCTTCGCTTGAGAGCGACCAAGGCCCCTTCCGAAACCTTAAAGCCTCTCTGATTTGCAATGTGGAGTTTCATGTGTTACCCGGCGAAATATGTCGCAAGCCATTGACGAAGCCAGATGTTCGACCACAGGAGCAACCAAACACATGTTCGAACACGCCCTAAATGAGATGCTCGCCGAGCGATGCGCCGAAGGGCTGTTCTCGATATGAGGAGGCAGTGTAAATGCTACAACACTCCAGGCTGACTTAAAGCCCAAGACCTGAATTACAAATCAAAAAGGGCAAACTGTGCACAGTTTGCCTTCCGAGCCCAATGAACACCTCCCGAGCCAGTGGGGTTACCAGAAAACGTCGCACCCCACAAAGACCGCGTCGTAGAGCAGAACGCTTCAACTTGGCGAGAGTTCCAACCACCCCTGCTGAAGGAAGAAGGGAACTGCCTGTGCACAGTTTGCCTAGAAATGGTAATTCAGGAATGCCTGTGCGGCTACTAAGCGAGACTCTAAGCTTTTGCCCCTAGCACATTCCCACCTTCAACCCCGATGCAACACGAAATTTAGGAATGCGCTCGTCACAAGCGTAAAATGCTCGAATCCCATATTACGAGACGTCGCGCTAAACAGGATCAAGAGGCGTAGGGAGGAAATCCCCTCACATCGGCCTCCCCCTTGACGCACCGTCACCCTCGTTTCCCCCGTGGTCCCCGTCACCATTGCCCTCCCATCGTCCTTACCCCTATCCCCTCCCATCGCTTCCTCGTCGTCGTGCCCCATTGCGGCGCTTCGTGCACCACTCCGCGACCACCCACTTTCAGCGTCGTCGTGTCCCCACAACGCCCCGCTATCCTGACAGTCAGGCCCACGATTCCACGCGCGGGAAGCCCGTTTCTCAAGCCCACGTTTCTCCTCCCTGCGCGCGCACCGTTCCGGTAAGCCCGCGCGGGAACCTCTCGCCACCCCGCGCGCGCTCTTCTCGCCTTCCGCGCGGTATCCCATCGCATCCCAGCGCGCGCTCCTCTTACCGCCCCGCTCGGCCTCCTCTCACCATCCCGCGCGTGCTCCTCTCGCCTCCCCTCGCGTGCTCCTCTCGCCTTCAATGCTCGCGAATCTCTTGCCTCCCCGCGCGGCCGCCTCTCGCCTCCCCGCGCAGCCTCCTCCCGCCATCCCTCGCGCGCCCCTCTCGCCTCCCCGCGCGTGCTCCTCTCTTCTCACCTACTCGTTCTCCTCTCGCCTCCCCTCGCGCGCCCCTCAAGCCTCCCCGCGCGTGCTCCTCTCTCCTCACCTACTCGTTCTCCTCTCGCCTCCCCTCGCGCGCCCCTCAAGCCCCCCCGCGCGTGCTCCTCTCTCCTCACCTACTCGTTCTCCTCTCGCCTCCCCTCGCGCGCCCCTCAAGCCTCCCCGCGCGTGCTCCTCTCTCCTCACCTACTCATTCTCCTCTCTCTTCACCTTGCATGCCTCCCACGCCTCCCCGCGCGTGCTCCTCACTCCTCACCCTGCGTGCTCCTCTCGCCTCCCCGCGCGTGCCCCTCTCTCCTCACCTCCAATGCTCTTCGATCGCCAACCTTGCGCGTGCCCCTCTCTCCTCACCCTGCGTGGGCTCCCCTCTCCTCACCTTGCGTGCTCCCCTCTCCTCACCTTGCGTGCTCCCTCTCCTCACCTTGCGTGCTCCCCTCTCCTCACCTTGCGTGCTCCCCTCTCCTCACCTTGCGTGCTCCCCTCTCCTCACCTTGCGTGCTCCCCTCTCCTCACCTTGCGTGCTCCCCTCTCCTCACCTTGCGTGCTCCCCTCTCCTCACCTTGCGTGCTCCCTCTCCTCACCTTGCGTGCTCCCCTCTCCTCACCTTGCGTGCTCCCCTCTCCTCACCTTGCGTGCTCCCCTCTCCTCACCTTGCGTGCTCCCCTCTCCTCACCTTGCGTGCTCCCCTCTCCTCACCTTGCGTGCTCCCCTCTCCTCACCTTGCGTGCTCCCTCTCCTCACCTTGCGTGCTCCCCTCTCCTCACCTTGCGTGCTCCCCTCTCCTCACCTTGCGTGCTCCCCTCTCCTCACCTTGCGTGCTCCCTCTCCTCACCTTGCGTGCTCCCCTCTCCTCACCTTGCGTGCTCCCCTCTCCTCACCTTGCGTGCTCCCCTCTCCTCACCTTGCGTGCTCCCCTCTCCTCACCTTGCGTGCTCCCCTCTCCTCACCTTGCGTGATCCCTCTCCTCACCTTGCGTGCTCCCTCTCCTCACCTTGCGTGCTCCCCTCTCCTCACCTTGCGTGCTCCCCTCTCCTCACCTTGCGTGCTCCCCTCTCCTCACCTTGCGTGCTCCCCTCTCCTCACCTTGCGTGCTCCCCTCTCCTCACCTTGCGTGCTCCCCTCGCCTCACCTTGCGTGCTCCCCTCTCCTCACCTTGCGTGCTCCCCTCTCCTCACCTTGCGTGCTCCCTCTCCTCACCTTGCGTGCTCCCCTCTCCTCACCTTGCGTGCTCCCCTCTCCTCACCTTGCGTGCTCCCCTCTCCTCACCTTGCGTGCTCCCCTCTCCTCACCTTGCGTGCTCCCCTCTCCTCACCTTGCGTGCTCCCCTCTCCTCACCTTGCGTGCTCCCTCTCCTCACCTTGCGTGCTCCCCTCTCCTCACCTTGCGTGCTCCCCTCTCCTCACCTTGCGTGCTCCCCTCTCCTCACCTTGCGTGCTCCCCTCTCCTCACCTTGCGTGCTCCCCTCTCCTCACCTTGCGTGCTCCCCTCTCCTCACCTTGCGTGCTCCCCTCTCCTCACCTTGCGTGCTCCCCTCTCCTCACCTTGCGTGCTCCCCTCTCCTCACCTTGCGTGCTCCCCTCTCCTCACCTTGCGTGCTCCCCTCTCCTCACCTTGCGTGCTCCCCTCTCCTCACCTTGCGTGCTCCCTCTCCTCACCTTGCGTGCTCCCCTCTCCTCACCTTGCGTGCTCCCCTCTCCTCACCTTGCGTGCTCCCCTCTCCTCACCTTGCGTGCTCCCTCTCCTCACCTTGCGTGCTCCCCTCTCCTCACCTTGCGTGCTCCCCTCTCCTCACCTTGCGTGCTCCCTCTCCTCACCTTGCGTGCTCCCCTCTCCTCACCTTGCGTGCTCCCCTCTCCTCACCTTGCGTGATCCCTCTCCTCACCTTGCGTGCTCCCTCTCCTCACCTTGCGTGCTCCCCTCTCCTCACCTTGCGTGCTCCCCTCTCCTCACCTTGCGTGCTCCCCTCTCCTCACCTTGCGTGCTCCCCTCTCCTCACCTTGCGTGCTCCCTCTCCTCACCTTGCGTGCTCCCCTCTCCTCACCTTGCGTGCTCCCCTCTCCTCACCTTGCGTGCTCCCCTCTCCTCACCTTGCGTGCTCCCCTCTCCTCACCTTGCGTGCTCCCCTCTCCTCACCTTGCGTGCTCCCTCTCCTCACCTTGCGTGCTCCCCTCTCCTCACCTTGCGTGCTCCCCTCTCCTCACCTTGCGTGCTCCCCTCTCCTCACCTTGCGTGCTCCCCTCTCCTCACCTTGCGTGCTCCCCTCTCCTCACCTTGCGTGCTCCCCTCTCCTCACCTTGCGTGCTCCCCTCTCCTCACCTTGCGTGCTCCCCTCTCCTCACCTTGCGTGCTCCCCTCTCCTCACCTTGCGTGCTCCCCTCTCCTCACCTTGCGTGCTCCCTCTCCTCACCTTGCGTGCTCCCCTCTCCTCACCTTGCGTGCTCCCCTCTCCTCACCTTGCGTGCTCCCCTCTCCTCACCTTGCGTGCTCCCCTCTCCTCACCTTGCGTGCTCCCTCTCCTCACCTTGCGTGCTCCCCTCTCCTCACCTTGCGTGCTCCCCTCTCCTCACCTTGCGTGCTCCCCTCTCCTCACCTTGCGTGCTCCCCTCTCCTCACCTTGCGTGCTCCCCTCTCCTCACCTTGCGTGCTCCCCTCTCCTCACCTTGCGTGCTCCCCTCTCCTCACCTTGCGTGCTCCCCTCTCCTCACCTTGCGTGCTCCCCTCTCCTCACCTTGCGTGCTCCCCTCTCCTCACCTTGCGTGCTCCCCTCTCCTCACCTTGCGTGCTCCCCTCTCCTCACCTTGCGTGCTCCCCTCTCCTCACCTTGCGTGCTCCCCTCTCCTCACCTTGCGTGCTCCCCTCTCCTCACCTTGCGTGCTCCCCTCTCCTCACCTTGCGTGCTCCCTCTCCTCACCTTGCGTGCTCCCCTCTCCTCACCTTGCGTGCTCCCTCTCCTCACCTTGCGTGCTCCCTCTCCTCACCTTGCGTGCTCCCCTCTCCTCACCTTGCGTGCTCCCCTCTCCTCACCTTGCGTGCTCCCCTCTCCTCACCTTGCGTGCTCCCTCTCCTCACCTTGCGTGCTCCCCTCTCCTCACCTTGCGTGCTCCCCTCTCCTCACCTTGCGTGCTCCCCTCTCCTCACCTTGCGTGCTCCCCTCTCCTCACCTTGCGTGCTCCCCTCTCCTCACCTTGCGTGATCCCTCTCCTCACCTTGCGTGCTCCCTCTCCTCACCTTGCGTGCTCCCCTCTCCTCACCTTGCGTGCTCCCCTCTCCTCACCTTGCGTGCTCCCCTCTCCTCACCTTGCGTGCTCCCCTCTCCTCACCTTGCGTGCTCCCCTCTCCTCACCTTGCGTGCTCCCCTCTCCTCACCTTGCGTGCTCCCCTCTCCTCACCTTGCGTGCTCCCCTCTCCTCACCTTGCGTGCTCCCTCTCCTCACCTTGCGTGCTCCCTCTCCTCACCTTGCGTGCTCCCTCTCCTCACCTTGCGTGCTCCCCTCTCCTCACCTTGCGTGCTCCCCTCTCCTCACCTTGCGTGCTCCCCTCTCCTCACCTTGCGTGCTCCCCTCTCCTCACCTTGCGTGCTCCCCTCTCCTCACCTTGCGTGCTCCCCTCTCCTCACCTTGCGTGCTCCCCTCTCCTCACCTCTCCTCACCTTGCGTGCTCCCCTCTCCTCACCCTGCGTGGGCTCCCCTCTCCTCACCTTGCGTGCTCCTCTCTCCTCACCTTGAGGCCTCCTCTCTCCTCACCTTGCCTGCTCCTCTCTCCTCACCTTGCGTGCGCCTCTCTCCTCACAATACATGCGACCATACTGGATTAAAGGGAGGGACCGTCTCCTTGCGACGCTTCGTGAAATGGCTCCGCTACCACCCACTTTCAACGTATGCGGGTCCCTACCACTTCCCACTATCCTGACAGGGGCGCCCACGTTTCCTCACTCGGGAATCCCGTGCACACGCACACGTTTCTCCTCCCAGCGCGCGCACCTGCCTGGTAAGCCCGCGCGAGATCCTCTCGCCTCCCGCGTGCGCTCTTCTCGCCACTCGCGCGGCATCCTATCGCCCCCCCGCACGCGCTCCTCTTGCCTCCCCGCGCGTCCTCCTCTCACCATCCCTAGCGTGCTCCTCTCGCCTCCCCTCACGTGCTCCTCTCTCCACACCATGCGTGCACCTCTTTCCTGTACCTCGCGTCCTCCTCTCTCCTCACCTCGCGTCCTCCTCTCTCCTCACCTCGCGTCCTCCCCTCTCCTCACCTTGCGTGCTCCTCTCTCCTCACCTCACGTCCTCCTCTCTCCTCACCTCGCGTCCTCCTCTCTCCTCACCTCGCGTCCTCCTCTCTCCTCACCTCGCGTCCTCCTCTCTCCTCACCTTGCGTCCTCCTTTCAACTCACCGCACGTCCACCTTTCTACTCACATTGCGTCCTCCTTTCCTCCAAATCACCAACAGTGAGGATCTAGGAGGCGTGAGGGACTTCACCTTCTCTCTCCACGCTGCCTCCGCGTCTCGCGACAGCCTCCGTTGGCGTCGCTGATCGCGTCTTTTGCCCTCACCCCCGCCCACACTCTTGCAACGGCGGTGCTTCCGCAGTCCCCCTGCACACCCGCAGAAAACCCTCGTTGCACGCCCTCTATTTCCCACATGTACGCCCTCGCTCCCCCTCTGCTCCTCTTGTCCCCCTATGCTCATCTTACCCCCTTCCGCTGGTCCTTCTCCTTTCTGCACCACTTCCAACCCGAAGCTCCGCTGTTCCCCCTATGCCCCTCTTTTTCCGCCCAGCTCCACTTTTCTCCTGTGAGGCTCCTTCGCTCTCTGCTCCTCTTTCCCTCCTCTGCTCCTCTTGTCCCCCTCTACTCATCTTTGCCCCCTCACTCCCTTCCATCCCACTCAACTGTCACCCTCCCTCCCTGTTTATCACCCTATTTTTTGCCTCGCATCCCAAATGTTCTGACACCACCCTCCTCACAGCTTCCCCACATTGGGATTCCCACCTCATTATTCATAGTTTCTGAGTATTCTGTCTTCAAATCTGACATCCATCACTAGCCATCCACAGCACCTTGACATCAATTCTGCAATTCCCTCCCTCCCATCCGCACTTCCCCCGTCCCCTACTACGCCAGCTCACTCGCCCCGATCTTCTGTTGCTACTCAAGCGCCCGTGCACCCGACGCTGGTTCTTTAGATGGGAGCCCTCCCCCCTTCCATCTCTGCACCCCTACCTTCCCAACCCCCAGCCGTCCCATTTCAAGAACCTATTACACAGTCTCCATCCCTAATCTTCCTGCCCACACAGGTTCAATATGGTCCCTCGGTTGATGCTTCATTCCTCTCGTGCTCTCCCTGCCTTATCTTTCCTCCAAATCACAGCCCCTTAACACTACTTTCCATCACCCCTATTAGCCGTCCCATTGCCCTTTTCCACACTGAACCATCACTCTCCCTTTCCTACTTCTCTCACATTAGTTTAGGGGTTTAGGGTCCCCGCGTCCCACAAGCTCATACGCGAGCACCCTCACCGCCTTCCCATGTTGGAAATCCCCCTGCATTATACCGAGTTGCCGTGGGTGCCATTCTAGCTCCCATGCCGTCCCCTTTCTGGGTTGCCCATCCTCAATCCCTTCCATCCCACCTCTCCTCTCTTCCATCGCAGCACCCTCGCATCCTGAGTTTCTGATTAGCCTTACTTCCCATCTGCCATCTCTCCCTTGCCATCCTCCGAACCTCTTTGTAATTAAATCTGCAAACCCCTCTTTCCCATCCGCACTTGCCCCGTCCCCTCCTATTCCTCTCCCGTCACCGGCGCACACATAGTACCACTATTCCTCTCACTTCTCCTCTTTCCCATCCGCAATTGCCCCGTCCCCTCCCATTCCTCTCTCTTCCCCTTTCTTCCTTTGCTTCACAGCGGCCAGTGAACCCGGCTTCAGTCCTTGCGCTGTAAGTCCACGCCCCTTTATTTCCCAGCACCCCTACCTTCACTCGTGGTTTTGGTTTGGCACCCCTTTCTTCCTTTGCTACGCTGCTCCAAACCTTATCAGAGTTCGTTCTCATGGTCCTCCGATCCGGAGGACCAACTATACGGTCTCCTTCCCTCGTCCAGCTGCCGGACCTGTCGTGCAGTTCCTGACCTGCCCACCCTCCCCTTCACATCCAACTCACTTCAGTGACTTGCGTAATCCGAAACCGAAGCCCCCCCGCCCCCTCCCCTTTCACTCCCTAACCCCTCTCTCTCTCTCTCTCTCTCTCTCTCTCTTGTTTTTCTGCCTGATATTCTCGTTTCTCACACTCTAAACCACACACCTCATCAGCCATGTCATCATGGCGACGTACTCCTCGGAGACGGCTGACGCTTGGATTCAGGGTTGGGGAGGAGGGTTCCGAGGATGAGGAGGAGGAGAGGGGTCGGCGACGTGGACCGGAGTCGATGGTCACGGCAAGTACGGGCACCCTCTCCGCCCATACTCGTTCGGTTGCCGCGAGCACAACGCATCCCTTTCCCAGAGTTCGATCTCGAAGAGTTGTGCAACCAACGGGACTACCCCCACAGGTTCAATATGCAAAAGAACGGTGGTCCATATCTGAGTTTGAGGCGCGATATGCCAAGCAATATCGTGTTCTTGACGCTTGGGCGCGACATTGGCTCGGATTGTCGGACGAGGAGGGCCCCGGGAGTCAGAGAATTAGTGTGGCGAGCATTCTGAGGGTGTGCTTGGGAAAAAACACGGATGAGGATATGGATGGTCAACCTATGGGGGCAAAGAACCATCGTTTTCGTTGCTACATTCAATACTCTGCCTTGTTAGGTGATCATCAGTATGCACAGGTGACTTTGCCATGGCTAATTCACGTCGTGATCGGCTCGCTTTACCCCGAGCCAACGGGCGTGGGTTACAGAAAATGTAGTCAAGGCGATGTGGACTGGTTCAACCTGGAATGGGTCATCCCTGACGAGATTGATTTTGGGATGAGGTCAATCGATGCTAGACAATCGTCAATTGTCCACCTGGCGACTCAGGAGTCTGGAATTTACTGATTTTTAGTGCGGGAGGGAGGGTTATCGGGAACAACTTATTGTATTTACATGTGTTACTCTTTTTACACAGTCCGCAATAGTGTGATAGGTAGATGGATGACCATCACAGCAAAGCGACAACCAAATCAATGAAGTAGCCCTTTGTGTGCAGTCAAGTATGTTACTGGATGGGGAAGGGAATGTTTCAATTCCCAGCTTCTAGCCATGGGGGAGCGAGTAGAGCATACAGTGGCGACGCCGCTGTCGCTTATTATGGCACAGGCATGAAAGACATTCCATGCTGCACCATTGAAGACAATGCGTCTCCTGGAAGCTGCCGGTGTGTACTGCTTTGTTCGTCACCCTGCCACAGCTTGTGCGGCTATGGCTCATTATTACCCACACGTGAGAGGGATACGGTAGGCTGCGAGAGGAGAAGGGGAAAGACAGGCTGGAAGCAAGTGCTTGTGCAGGGGGAGGGGGGGAGTGGCACGATGTTGGCAGGGAGAGGAGATGGGGGAGAAGAGGTGGTATCGAAGGAAGGAGCCAGTACTGTAGAGACGGAGTTAGGCGAGGAAGGGGTGAGCAGGGAGCAAGGGAAATGGCTGGTGGTGACTTGGCTGATGTGCTGCGCAGCTTGGCCTTGCCCTTGCGGGTCTGAGCACAGATCGAGGCGGGAGGGCCGAGAGAGGTGGAGAGACGTGGAGAAAGGTGATCGGGAAACAAGAATGCTTAAATTGGTGCAGAGTGCTAGGGTCAGCGCTGACTGTACATTTTGAAGTGCCTTTCAGTGTAGTGCGTGCGGTGCGGACAGGGCGGCCACGGCGGGCATTCCGTGCACTACGGACAGCATGAGCAATGCAGAGCAGACAGGGCAATGACTCACCTCCCTGGCGAGGTCTCGGCCACTCTCTTCACAGATCTGCAGCATGCTCTCCGTTGGCTGACATGCAGGGGGAGATGGGAATGTGGGACGGAAGAGAGGATGGGACGGGGAAGAGAGGACGGGCAGGCAAGAGAGGATGGGACAGGAGGGATGGGCGGAACAGAAGAAATGGGTGTGCTCCCCTCTCCCGGATCGGTTAAAAATTGACGGAGAAATGGGAACCGGGAGCGAAAGGCAGGGAGATAAAACTGCTATGGCCAGGACACACGGGGCGTGCAATGGAACCTTCCTTCCCCCTCCTCACCAAGAACTTGCAGCGAATAGGTGGGATTCCGAAGGAGAACCCTCCGTCCTTCAACAGTCACCCCTGTGCATGTTGTATGCCTCTATGCCCCCCACGTCAAAGTCCTCCACCCGCTCCTGCTGCTCCGCCCTTCACCCTCTCCCCCTATCCACCGATGCATTATCTCCGCCCCTCACCCTCTCCCCCTATCCATCTCTGCATTCTCCCTATCATTAACACCGATGTAATATGTTTCATGCCCTGGCCTAGGCACGCCGAGGGTGCGACATACCTCCCACATCTGCTGATACCCGATCCCGGCAAGAGCGAATGCTCCAATCATCTTACCCATCAATGGCGGACTACGTGGACCACGCTTGCTGGGAGGTAGGTCATCTCTCACTCGACTACTTGACCATAATTCTTCCTTGGCTGAGCAAACATTGCACAACCACATCAACCCCAGACATGCCCATGACCGCTTCCACGATTCAAGTTGCATTGCACCTCTGCACGCAGACCTCACGCACGTGCCTAAGGCGCGACCACAAAAGAACGATACCATCACCCTCGGATCGAGAAAACACACCATGTCGGCAGGAAAATCCTCCCAATTTGGGGGGTTTGGCCAACCACGAGGCCAACGACGCTTGCGCGTCACGCTGCCAGCATCCTGTCTGCATGCACAGAAATCAAGCGGGATAAGAAACTGGACTGGTTTTTCTGAGGGTCTGCACGTGCTACTGACCATCTTATTAATAAATGTGGAAAAGAACATATGGGTTATTATTTCAACACACAATTATTGCTTGTACCTGTTTGGCCCCTCAGAAGGGCCACCCGCTTGTTCGCTCGAATGAGCGCCTCGCGGTTGTGTATTGTCTTCGACACTCACCCCCTCAACCCCATACACGTTCTCGGCCGGCAAGCACGGCCCATGTCCGTCCTCATTTGTTTGTGGGGTTTCTGTTGACATGCAGCGCTCTTCACAAGAATTAGGGCGGGCGGAAGCATTATTCGAGATGGGGGGAAGAGACTTTAGGAATGAAGTGCAGAATTCAGGATGGTTGAGAGGGAACTGAATCCCTCAAGAGTCGAGTGGGAAGGGATTCAAGGCAGGTCGGGGGAGGGTGGAAAGGACAAGAATCCAGGGCAGAGCGGGGGGCGACAGAATTCCGGGCAGTGCGACGGGGAAGAGAATTCAGCGAATAGGGACAGAAATATGATTTAGGGTTGGTGAGAGATAATAGGCAGAATAGAAGTGCAGGTGGCAGGGGGGACGGGATCGTTTTAGTCTTGGCAGTGCCGCGGGGGAAACAAGCATCAGGCCCACAGGGCTGGGAGGGGGAGGGAAGTTTTTGGTGGAACGATATTCATTTGCCTGGGGATCCGGTGTTTAAACGCAGCACGCATGTTTCGCACTAGCATCTAACTAGGTTCTTACCTTCACCCGGCAGGACGGTTGCAGCAGCTTGGTTGCGTTCCCCGCCCCATCCGTTTCCTTCTACTCTTCTAGGCTCGCCATTTTTTCCTCTCTCCCATTTTGGAAACTTAAACTCTACACCTATCAGGGATCTATCTGGCCTCGCTAACAGATCCTCCACCGTTGTGGTCCCTCTCCCCATGCGCTGCCAGAAGGCCTTCGAGTCGGACTCAAGATGCAAATTCACAACTTGGCCAGCGCTCTCTCCCCCAGGACCCGCACCTGTGGCAAAACCATGCAAGCACATCAACGTGTGAGCACAGTACACACTGTACACGACGTGGAGTACACATTACAGCACTGTATCAAGTGACAAATACCCATATTCCCCATGGTTACCTGCGTGTCTTGCTGCCCTCATTAGCCTCTCTATGACATG